TTACACCATTAATATTGAAGGCTGCAACACCAGTTGAAGCAATCACCAATATTGGTGAATTAGATCTATATTTTGCCATCTCACAAAGTTGACTTCTGATTGCTCTAATGAAATATGACTTTCCTGTACCTGCAGTTCCTATAACAATAATTTTCAATGCCTCAATTTGATGATCTCTAAGAATATTTTCATAATGTGATTCTATTTTGTTATAAATTATTCTTTGCTTTTCATTTAAAGTTTGGTAATCTACAATATCAATAATAGAGCTTTTATTTTCTTCTGTTTCGAAAACATTATTATTATGATTAGATGCTTTTTGAATAAAGGAGCTTGCTTCTACAAGATCAATATTGAAATAATGTTGCCTAACATCACTAATTCAATCATAATTTCGATCTATATCATGAGATCCAAGGTTAGAAGAACAATTAATAATTGAATTCAAACCTATTTCTGCTAGGAGCATCCAGTCAAATCGATACTCATCTTGTTCATCATCTTCAAACTGTTCTTCTTGACTTTCATTATCCATAATTTCACTTTCATCATTATCAACAGAAGGTTCAATTAAGTTCATTAGGTTGGAATCTATTTCTTCAAAATGGTGACTATATAGGCTAACTATGAATTGGCATCATTTTGAGTCAGCATCTGAATATCACGATAACAAACATAGAGAAGAACTTTTATGCGACAGAACTCCTCCCATTTTGGACCATTCTGCAAAGGTGATGGCCATGGCCAGATGCATATAATATTGTCTTTTTCACACTTGCATCATCTATTCTTAGTAAATTTATATATAAGGTTTAACTTATATAATGAAAATTTTTCAAATTCAATAGGTCTGTCCTAATAAATTTTTAAAGCTGATCATGTTGTTAACCCTGAACTTTCAGCTTCGAAATAATTTTCAGCTTTGAAATAATTTTCATCTTCTCTTAAATCTGTACCATGAAGCCATCATGGTGCTTCATTATTAAGATTTAATGAAATGAATATATGACTTGAATGATAAAGAGGAATTTTAAGAAGAAGATGACAAGTCTCTTGTGCTGATATGTCACATTCTGCCACACTATGAAGCAGTAATTTTTGGATCAGTACAATTAATTGGTCATTAGGATTGCTATTGCAAAGTATCTGATTTAATATCTCTGAAAAAGCTATTGATTATGGTTTTGCTTTACTCGCAACTTGGAAATGTACTGCAGGGCTGCATGTATACTAAGTATAGGTTTTAAGTTAATATTTACTCTCTATCTTTGCAGTTGAAGTCTGTTATATGGATTAATATATGGATCATTTCTTGCTGTTACAAGCTCTGGATGATCATGCTTGTCATTACGCAAAAAGGTATAATTGTTTTCTTCTTTAGAGTATCTGAATCTACAAAACTGTAGTCCTGTACAGTTTATACAAAGACAATATGCAGAGCTACATCTTGTGTGTTGTTGTAATTTATTAACTAATTCAAAATAATCCTGTAGATCATCATATAGTTCTTCATGACGTTTTTTACACAGATGCCTATCAGAAATAGGAGCATTAAGTCCTGGATTAATCGTAGTAACTAGCAATTCAATATATTTGATTACTTCTTTTAATAAGTTCTTATAATTTTTTAATTGTT